AGGCAACAACGGCCAACCAAGTGATCCAGCCTTTGCGGGTATTGATGAACCGTATAATAGAGTTCTTGTAAAGTCGACCGTGGATAAATCTGCAAGCGACCGTGGCGTTGATTGAGCCTGAGATATAGATGACGGGCAAGGCAATGCCGAACGCGACTTTCGACACCAACGGGCTGGCGGATAACAAGGCGGGGGACTGAACTTCCTGGCCTACGAATGCATAGATTACTGATCCCGTGATGGTATATAAAACGATTTCTGTAAGACCCAGAGTGACGATGGATTTTGTGAAATCGGCAGGCGTATGCATTTCGGACATGAAGGAGAATTGGGCCGCTGCAAATGCATATGAGAAGACAATATTGGAGACCGCTGTGAGTGCCTGAGTGAAGCTAAGGTCGTCCTGTGGCCACGCTGACCAAGTAGAAGATGAGAAACCACCTAGGGCGTCTGACCTCTGAATCCCAGTGGCGATCATAGTGATACCGATCGCAAGGATGATGGAGATAAAGTCGATGTAACCGAGGATCGCAATCTCAGTGAATGAAGGTGGAATCGCAAGGACCATAAGGATAACAGCAGAGATGACCCCAAACGCGAGGGTACACACGCTGCTACCCGTGATCTTGACAAGTGCAATGGTGCCGGTCAAGCAGTGGGAGCCAGTAGCCAAGATCAACAAGCCCAAGAAGACAACAGCGAAGAGTTTATCACCAAAGCCTCCCATCAACAGCCTCCCAGCATCGACATAATGATCAACGTTAGGATATTTCAGCTTGACAAGACCAACCATGTAACTAGCATACATAGCGATAAGCCCGATTCCAATGCAGGATATAACGCCAGCGACCATTCCTAGGGTAGCGAAAGCTCCTGGGAGACTTAGACTGCCGAGGGCAATGGCCTGTACGATGAGTACGACGGTAAGACGTTTCCAACCCAGGCGCTGGAAATGAGCCGTGCCCTGGATGGTTTTTTCTTTTTCGAGATCGGTTTGGAACATCTGCGCTGTGGCTTCACTGAAGGATGCTTGACGGTGGATACCATCTTGTTTTTCACCTGCGACGATGATATCGGAGTCGTTTGCGGGTTTGGGATGACTCATTATGAACGAGCAAAAATCTAACAAGGGAAATGATTTGATGGGAGGAGAAGGTTGAGGAAGTGACCTGACCTGGGGAGAATGATGTCTATATATCCTCGACAAGCCAAGCTTATCCAATCCCATGGACCGATAACCCCATGGGGAAGAGCGTCAAGCTGCGCGAGATCCACGCGATAAGAGTTTTCCGATCATATCGACAGTTACTGTTAGGAATTGCCGAGCGCCATGACTGGTTGACGAATTCCCAGTTTGATGAGTGGGCTATGGACCAATTCCCAGTTTGAGTGGGTTATCGAACAACCAATTCTGGGTCCTTGAGCCGTTGCTTTCCGACCCAGTTTTTGGCAGGCTATGATATGAAGGGCGGGATAGTTAGTGCGTGCTTGCTGCTGTAGGGCGCAGTTTGAACAATTATCAGGGACGATGGTTGAAGCGAGCTGTTGACTCTGCCGTGTGTATGAGACGCATTGGATACTCAACAGTAAAGATACGAATTTGTCAATGTATTCGTAAACCAGGCAAGAATACTCTATCTTCTTCACCTTGTATTAACTACCTGATATCCTGGACAATGAAAGGATATCCACCCTCTCGGTCTTGAGGAATCTACGGTATGACTAATAATCTGCAACTTTAATTCCGCACTAGGATCAGATACGCTCGGAAATGGGGAAACTGGGGATCATTCGCATCCACTGGTTCATGTCATCCGTCTGAAAGATGCAGCAGCAGTAGTGACGAGGCAATGTCCCTGTTACACATACATCTTGTGAACTGTTTTCGCCATGCGGGGCCCCGCGATGACACTTGCCACACAATGCGGATCCAGCATGGCCAGTAGACTTGGACTGATGTCTGGTTTGATGGATGACTTGCCGTTGACGTTAGTTAACGGAAATGAATTGTATACCCAGTCGCAGACGAATGTTGCTTATTCAGTCCGTTTAGCCGTTTTGGCTGATAAGTATGGGGAAACATCTGGAAGGTGAACATTGCTGACCTGTTCTATTTTCCGCGCTTTAAGATGCCATTCACTTCAGCTACCCTGTGCACTTGTTTGGCGTTTGGGGGAGGACGGACATTCTTGTGATTATTTCCATTCGGCCTTGCAACTTGGCCAATAAGAGCACTGTTGCATGCAATTCATTTCGCTTCAATGGCGACTCTGGGCTTAGCACATGCACTATTGAGATACTATTGGCATTAGCTTAAGATGTCAACGCAGGTACTCCTATTTTTCCTTTGCGCCGCTAGATAGATTTCTTTCTCTTTTGTCTCATTTCTTGCCAATCAACTACTTATTTTTTTTAATTAAACGACTTCAAGCCACTCGATCTGCCAAGATGCGATTTTCTGCGTTGGCGCTGTCCATCTTTCTTGGTGCTGTTTCAGCGGGTCCTTGCCGACCCTCTAGCGTCGAGAGCAGTTCTGAAACCACTGGACTTATTGGTGTGACAACGATCGAGTCGCTCTCCTCAACTTTCGCAGCGACTGTGTCAACCGAGCCAGCTGACGCGACAACGACGACGGCTGCTATCACATCTATCCTCGAGACTACGACAGAATCAAGCGCGGTTGCTGCTACCACTACTGCTGCTGCTAGCATATGCGTTGCACCAGCCGCCCTGACATGCTGCCAAACTGTTGGAACCCCAACCAATCCAGTCATCAGCCTTCTTCTGGGGTTGCTTGGTATTGTGGTTCAAGATCCAAACACTGTCCTCGGAGCAACATGTATGTGTTCCCTCAGTACCTTTCCGTTTTGTGGTCTAATATTTCCTTCCAGGCTCATCTATTACTGATCCCGCAACTTGTCCGGCCATAGCAGTTTGCTGTAAAGATAACAGCCATGTAAGCATTCCTTCCTACTAATGTCTCCTGAATGATGTTGACTTGTGTTACTACAGGGCGGCCTTATTTCTATAGGTTGTTCGCGAGTTTAGGGATATACTAAGATCTGTTCGACAAATGTATATTGATTCTGTGTGAGATGACTTTGTTTCTTATTACTAAATAGGTAATTATTAATAGCTAGACGGGTAATAGTCTCTAGCACTATAAAGGTAGCATTTATATATATAGATAAATTACGGAGTAAAGCGTGATGTAATATTATCTAGTATATAATAGTGCCTCTAAATAAGACTAGCCTGAATAGATATCGCAACTGACTTTCTGATTTCAAATTATCAGGGTTGCAACGACACCTGAAAACGCAGGAAACCACAGTCTATAGGTATGCAGAGCAAGCCCGGTGAGTTATGGCTAAGACCAGCAACATATGACCTGTCTGACCGTCGCCATGGAACAGTGTTAACTACAATTTCCCTTGCGTGCATATTGTCTCCCAGGCCTTCTGAGCTAAGTACTTTCATCGCTAGCGGACCATATTGGGTCGCTCGGAGTTGGTAATCTAGGTGTGTTGAGGAACCTGCAACTGATAACCAGCGACTCTAATTCCGCATGAAGATTAGGCACACTCGGAAATTGGGAGACATTGAGGATTCCCTTTGCCGCCTGAGCGGCGGGGGAATTAATAGCCAAGTCGAGGTAGTACTGCGAGTGCTAATTGGGCATCTGTTTATCTTCTCATTTCAGTATATTTAAATCTCACAGTACATTATCTGAGAAACTAATGGATGCCGATGAGGGTCAAAAATCAGTGGAATGGCACCTATGAAGCATCGTGAGCTCCATATCAGGTCAAGACCCATAAGAGATAGGTGAGTGAACTGTCGACTGCGTCCCTGGGAGCTTCCACTATAGCTAAGGGCAAGCTATCGGAAGAGAAACAAGCAATACGCTAGCCCGCACGAAAGACGAGAAGCTAGGCTAATGACGGAGAAATGCAGGGGAAATGCAAGGGCCGCACCGAGAGAGATCTGACTTGCGGCATGGACAGTAGCTCTTTTGGTACTCACTTGCGTGATACTAAGCTTCTAAGTTCATACTAGCCGTGTTCCGCCCGGCGCCACAAGATGTGATCTGATTTGTATTACGTCGTGCAAAACTTTATCCTCGATCTCGACCAAGCCTAGTAATCTCTTCAACCTAAGTGGCTTCATTGTTTTCATACTGCGCAAGTGATAGAGAGACATTGTCTTGGTCATTGTTCATCAAATCAAGTAGTATAATGCTTACAAGAGTGATTCTTTATATATAGATATTGCCGGATTTGAATGAAGTTGACCTGCAAGTACAGACAAGTCCCTCCAGTCTCGATCAATTATCAGATCACAGACCTCTTCCTTTTCTGCCAACTATGTATGAAAAGAAAGAGTTAGAAATGATCTCCCAGACTAGACCCAGAGTAGAATACCACTGAGTGATATTGCATTCCTTCGATCTGTTGTTTGCAATTGAGACTTGTGGCTGAAAGCTTATATCCCCAATGGGAGCTTAGCATTCCATTTACACCACTGCCCTGATATAGGGCAGCCACATAAGAGACACTCAGAACTTACTAGCCCAAACTGTAATAAACCAAATCATTTCTCGCTGCGGCAAAGAGATTGCCGAGCTAGCCGAGGACATGGTTGCTCAGCACTCCTGGAACGGGTCGGACACTGCACACGGTCTCGAATCTTTTGGTAAGCACCGGAACCGCACTAAATGGCTTGCCGGAAGCTTCACACATTATTAATGTCGATGGAAATGACCAAAGGCTGATGAACTAAAATAAAATAAGTTCTGCCGATGGTGCCTCATGATGAAAGCTAGATGCCGGCCTTCTTTCTCAGATCGCTCTCTGGCCGATCCATTCACATTGTGCTATTTATTTATTTACTTCTTCCATTCCTTTCCTCGAGCATTTTGCTTAACCAACTGAGAAATCCATTCATTTTTGTCACTATTCAGCCGACTGATAGCCTTCTTTTTCCTACGCTCCTCCATCATGTCGCGTCGGCGCATGGTGGGCTTCTGGGCCCTGGCCTCCTTAGGCACAGGATCCGATGCAACATTGATAGGCAAGCGGGCCATTCAGACGCAGCCCATCGAGATAATTGACGGATCAAAGACGTTGTATGACACTTTGACAAGGTATGACATGCAGGGATTCTCATCGGCCTTCTTTAGCTAATGTCTGTAGCACATTTCTTCTGCAAAGCGATGATTCCTACGTTCCCCCTACCCTCTATGGACATGGTGATGCAAACACGACATACAACATTCCCCTCGCGGACCAGCAGCCATCATGTGGGACTGTCATGGTCGAGAGCCATGTAACCATATTATCGTCGACTGACCGTATGATATCTGCGCCTGAGACAACCACTCTGCCTACCCAAAATCCATGCGACATAGTTACCGTGATCGTCAGAATGCAAGGCTACAGGAAAGGCGATACAAAGGCACCTGTCTCCCAAGCTCCGGCCTTGACTTCATCTCCATCCGAGCCCGAAAGCTCAGCCGTTAATTCAGATCCTACAGCAATTGACCAAGATACTGAGAGTACTGCTGTTCCTACGATCCAGACTTCTTCCCAGGATGGCCCTGCCACTTCTTCAGGTTCTACAGTAGTGGGCCAGGACACTAGTAGCTTTCCTGCACCTATGAATAAGATTCTTGCTCAGGACGGCTCCACCACTGCTTCAGATCCTACAGTGCCATGGACTACAATGACCACTCAAGGAACTGGTACTGCAACTATGACCAGCACGCAATCTCCAACTAGACCTGGTGACACAGGAACGGTTTGGGTCATGGCCCCCAGGTCTCAAATGACTTCGGATACCCCGATTGACTACACCACCATCACGAGCACTGGTACCGGCACCGAAACTGGTACTTACACCATCACTGAGTCCCCGTCAGGATCTGGTCCTGGTACGGTGGTGATTGTGGTACCGAGCCCATTAGCTCAATACGTTACCGTGACATCCTATGATAGCTCGATCACAGCTGTTGCCACGAGTACAATAACTCCCAGTGCTCCTGGCGGAACTGGTACTGTTGTTGTCTATGACCCATACGAATGGGAGACCGTCACATCTTATGATCCTACCGCCCCATCTGACCATACAGCAACTATGTGGCCTTCTGCGTCTGGTCATGTCGGTACGGTAGTCATGTATATGGCATACAAATGGGTGACAGTCAGCTCTTATGACGCAACAATCTCAGCTGCATCTACAAAGACTATATCACCACCCTCTCCAGAGCAAACAGGTACCGTGGTGATATACCAGCCAGATCCATGGGTTACAGTCACTTCCTATGGAAGTGTCACGGCAGCGTCAACAAATACTGTATATCCAACTGGTCCGGGCGCAACGGGCACCGTTGTTGTATATCAGGCCTATCAATGGATGACCGTCACCTCTCACGATCCAAGAATCGCAGCCCCGTCCACAACCACTCTATCACCAGATCCTGGAGCGCAAACAGGCACTGTGATGGTATATGAGCCTTATCACTGGGCTACAGTCACTTCTTATGGAGATTTCACAGCTGACTCTACATCTACCATATCTCCAACTGCCCCAGATGCAACAGGCACCGTTATCGTGTACCAGACTTATCAGTGGACGACGGTCACATCCTTTGGAGAATTTACAGCTACATCGACATCTACCATATCCCCTTCCAACCCAGGCCAAACGGGCACTGTAGTGATCTTCGACCCACAGCCATATACGACTGTCACTTCCTTTGGAGATTTTACAGCTGCATCGACATCTACTATAGCTCCACCCGCACCAGGTCAAACAGGCACCGTGTTAGTCTTCGATCCACAGCCATACGTAACCGTTACTTCGTACGGAGGTTATACGACTGAATCCAGAACTACCATGACTCCATCTGTCCCGGGTCAAACTGGCACCGTGGTGGTCTTTGATCCACAGCCATACACGACCGTTACTTCATACGGAGATGTTACGGCTGAATCTAGAACCACTATAGCTCCATCTTCTCCAGGGGAGACGGGAACCGTGGTGGTTTTCGATCCACAGCCATATACGACCATTACTTCGTATGGAGCCATTACGGCTGCATCCACTACCACAATGGCTCCAACTATCCCTGGGGAGACAGGCACCGTAATAGTCTTCAACTCGCAGCCATATTCGACCATTACGTCATATGGCGCCGTTTCGACCGCCACCACGTACACCTCACCTCCCCCCTCTCCTGGCCAGACAGGTATCGTCTTGATTATGATGCAACAACCTTATACGACCGTTACTTCGTATGGAGACGTTACAGCTGAATCAACTACAACAATCGCTCCATCTGCTCCCGGGGAAACAGGTACTGTCGTGATATTTGATCCGCAGTTGTACGTGACTACCACGAGATATGGAAGTGTTACAGCTGCCTCAACAACAACTCAAAGCCGTGATGGGTCCAACCCAACTCTTACCGTCCTGGTTGATCTCCCCCAGCCTTACACTACATTCACTAGCTATGGCGCCTTCACCGTAGCCACCACTAGAACATACCCGCCCTCTGTTGCAGGGCAGATCGGAACTGTAGAAGTCGATCTCCCCCAACCTTATACCACCGTCACGAGCTACAAAGATGGTCTGACTACAGCTGAGACTACAACATACTCACCCGATGTTCAAGGAAAGTTTGCTACTGTCGAGGTTGATATGCCTCAGTCCTACACGACGGTCACAAGCTACATTCCAGGTCTCGCAGGCCCGGCATCCACAACCTTGCCGGCGTCTAATCCAGGTGACGTGATGACTGTAGTCGTTGGTCTTCCCCAGCCCTATACAACTATCACGACGTACGTGGACAGCCTGACTGCACCCCAGACTATGACAAGTCAACCGGCCAGTCCTGGTGACCCTGCTACAGTTATTATTGAGAGCCCATTGGGACATACGACTGTCACGACTTATGTTGATGGCTTATCTGCTCCTGTGACCACAACAAAGCAGCCTGCGAATCCTGGGGATCCAGCCACCGTTGTTATCGAGAGCCCTCTGGTATACACAACTATCACGACCTATATGGATGGCCTGACGGCACCTCTGACTACCACAAACCAACCGGCTAATCCCGGAGACCCTGCCACTGTCGTTGTCGAGAGTCCTCAGGCGTACACTACCGTGACTAGTTATGGCTCTTGGACTCAACCTCTTACTACAACATTGTCACCTACTGGCCCTGGAGGCGTGGCCACTGTTCTTATTGAGAGTCCTCAGCCTTACACGACTGTGACCAGTTATGGCCCCTACCCAGCAGTAACAACCACTACAATGGCACCAGCATCACAAGGTGATGTAGCGACTGTTGTTGTGCAGTCACCCCAACGATATACGACTGTGACCAGCTATGGCCCCTACCCAGCAGTAACTACCACTACCATGGCTCCTGTATCTCAGGGCGGAGTAGCGACTGTAGTTGTGGAATCACCCCAGCCTTATACGACTGTGACAAACTATGGTAGCTTTACAGCAGCATCAACCACCACAATGTCACCAGCGTACCAAGGCGGTGTAGCTACTGTCGTTGTGGACTTGCCTCAGTCCTACACAACTACTACAAGCTGGGGTAGCTTCACAGCCACTAGTACCACTACCATATCGCCAACATCTCCCGGCGGCGTTGCCACTGTTGTTGTTCAACGACCCCAGTCCTATACGACCACCACAAGTTGGGGTACCTTCACAACAACTGGTACCACTACCTTATCACCAACATCTCCTGGCGGCGTTGCTACAGTGGTCATGCAGAAACCACAACCATACACCACTGTAACTAGCTACACCACTGTTGTCTCAAGCGCCAGCACATCCACTGGGACTCCCGCTTCCGCCGGGCAAACTGCCACAGTGGTGGTCGTCGCTCCCGCAGTTGGAACCAAGGCTGCAGATCAAACATGTAACAACGGTGGTCTGGAATACGCTATCTATACCAACTCGTACTACAACTCTGATCCGCCTAACTACTCTGCCCTCAACATAGCATATTTTGGCACAGCTACACCCACTTACACTGGTGTCACAAGCTCTATAGGCATTACAGAGCCAGGAGGAGTCAAAGCAGGAAACTCAGGCCCAGCCCAGGTTATCTATCCTGGCGCGCCAAGTCAGACATGGCAGTATAAGGCTGTTAATCACCGGGCATTCTTATATGCGCCTATTAGCGGTACTTACTCTGTTGTTGTCCCTTATTCTGATGAGGTTACACTGGTTTGGTTCGGCAACAAGGCTCTGTCAACATGGACACGTGCCAATGCAGATCTGGAGCAGGATTACTCTTCAGGGCCTTCCAGTTCCAAGACTTTCAATATACAGCTGACAGCCGGCACTTACACGCCATTCCGGGTTTTCTGGGCCAATGCCCAGGGAGACTACTCAATGATAGTTACTGTCACAGCTCCAGACGGTACTGTCATCGTCAATGGCTCTGGATCCTCGAGCAAATACTTTGTTAGATTTGCTTGTGATTCTAGTACACCTTCTTATCCTGCATTTGGAAAGGGCGGTTAATCTTATCATTCTTTCTTATTCTCTTATTTCCTTGTTGTCTTGTATAAGTAGTTGAATACACATTGATTTCAGAGATATCAACCCCGAACCTCGCAACGCTTTTCACAAACGATAACGTTACTGTCCGCAGTGATTTATAGTGAACGCACAAAAGCTGACAGGTGAAGTCTTTGGTGGGAAGAAGGGGGAGATAATACTTATTACATCGTCGACAAGGCAAGAACGTACTGTATATACAATCCATTAGACCGATAACCCCGTGGAGAGAGCTTCAACGTGCGAGAGCTCCACGGGATAAGAACATTCGAATCACATCGTCAGTTGCCAAGCTCGGTGACTGATCAGCCAATTCCCAGTTTGAGCGGTTATACAAAAACCGAGCTTGGGCTCTTAAGCCATTGCTTTCCGATCCAGCGTTTAGCGATGAGGTATGAAGGGCGAGATACTTAATGCTTGGCTGTCGTAGGGCTTTAAGTCCGTATCAACATCAGACACGCTCGGAAATGGGGAAATGGGGAAACTAGGCTTCGTTTTTGGGCATGAGCGGGGAACTGGGAACCGAGTCAGTGCTTTATCTCTCTGAGAATGCTAATTGGACAAACGGTCTAACCAAAGGATTTTATTATGGGGCAATTGGAATCGCAGACTGGGAAGGAAGCTCGGAATTCAATTGGGGTAGAGGAGATCAGACGACACTGATAATACGACTCTCTACCCTCAAACATCGCAGCGTTTTCAACGTTTTCCTCTTCTTTTGATCTCACAATCTTCTAACTCTTCGATGATTACATCAACTGTTGTTTAATACCCAAGACAATGACCAAAACATTATTCGTCAACGGCCGGATCCTGTCCAAGACAGAGACAGGCCTCAATGGCAACGCCCATTTCTCAGACTGCATGCTCATCCAAGACGACAAGATCGTCGTAGTCGGGTCTCGTGATGATATCCCCCAGAATCTAGGTTCAGACATTCAAGTGCGCGATCTTGATCAGCGCGTCGTCCTCCCCAGCTTCATTGATGGCCATATGCATCTCCTCCTACTTGGTCAGTCCCTTCGAAAGCTTGATCTGTCACGATGTACTTCACTCGAAGACATCCGATCATGTATTCGAAAATATGCTTCTGAAAACCCGGATACACCGACTATTCTTTGCAAAGGGTGGAGGCATTACATGACGCCCGGCGGAGTTACGGCTGCTATGCTGGATGATCTCGATCCTCGGCCTATCTTTGTTGACGCGGGCTCTTTACACTCTTGCTGGTGCAATACCGCGGCTCTGAAGGAGCTTGAGGTTGAAGACATGCCAGATCCAGCCGGTGGCAAGATTTATCGTGACGCAGATGGAAAGCCATCTGGCCTTTTAGATGAAGGTGCCATGATGTCCATCAGTGAGTGCACCGCTGCCATCACCGTTTTGGACCGACTGATTAACCGCACTGTACAGTTTGGCCATTTCAAGCAAAGTCATCTCCCAAGCATGAACGAATAGAAGCGATCCGCGCTGCCGTAAAGGAGTACAACGCAGCTGGATACACTGGCGCAGTAGAAATGGCCATGGACGAAGAAGCATGGGACGCTCTCGTAACACTCAAAGAAACAGAACCCAACCTTTCACTAAGAATAGCAGCTCACTGGCTCATCAAACCAACCGCCAACCTTGAACAAAATTCGAAACAAGTGCAGCGCGCTATAGAGTTGAGCAAGCAGTATAACTCGACAACAAGCCCTGATCTTCGACTTGTCGGAATCAAAGTTATCACCGATGGTATTGTCGACGCATGCACTGCCTACCTGTCTGAACCGTATACCACTGTAGGAAGCCCGCCGCCAATCTGGGAGCCTGAGTTCCTGGATCCCGTGGTCAATGAGGCTGATGCTGGTGGCTTGCAAGTCGCCCTACATGCTATTGGCGATGGGGCTGTGAGAATGGCTATAAATGCTATTGAGAAACACGCTACACCAGGCCGAAGGCATAGAATTGAGCACTTGGAGCTTGTTTCCCCAGAAGACGCAAAGAGGCTTGGAAAGCTTGGTTTGACAGCATCCATACAACCGATTCACGCTGACCCAACAGCGTTGACAATGTGGCCTGAACTCATTGGAGACGAGCGATATGAGAGAGCGTTTGCATATCGAGATTTTGCTGATGCAGGTGCCTTGATGGCGATTGGTACCGATAGCCCTACATCACCGTGGTCGCCCATGCATAATTTCCATGTCGCTATCAACAGGCAGTCCTCCAAGAATCCCGATAACCCTAAAACAGTACACGAGCACTTTAGGTTAGGGCTCTGCGAGACGTTTATCGCGGCTACAGAAGGTGCAGCTCGAAGCGTGTTTGCTGAAGATCGTGTTGGAAGCTTGACGCCTGGCAAACTGGCTGATTTTATTGTTGTTGACATGGAATGGGATCCTAAGACGCTACTGAAAGCCGAGGTGAAGGAGACCTGGTTTGGGGGATCCCGTGTATTCTAAATAGGTTCCAAGATTATCATGACTGAGCAGTGGCATGCATAGAGTTGTAAACATTGTAACTTGCCCAATAAATTATATCCGCACCTGGCCTCTCTTTCATTCAACTTGCCTCGGGCGGCTTGTCCATACAAAGTCTACGAATAGGCTTCCAGTCTACAGATCAGACTATCAAAGATTTCTTATCCTTCAGCAATCTACTGCAAAGGATTAACATGCCTCCGACAAAAACAGTCAGCCCAGCCCAAACCCAAGCTGCCGTATAGCCCTTGCTCCTTCGCAAGGCCCCTCCTACAGGCGGACCGAATAACAGCGCAACGGACATGACTGAGAAAGCCATACCAAATCTGGTTCCGATTCTTCGAGGATCACTAGTCAGTCTAACGAAAATGGTCGGCTGAAGAGCGAAGAAGGAACCCGTGAAAAAGCCTTGGCTGATGACGGTCACAAGCAATCGTGGAGTTGTAGTTGCTGAGATGAGACACAGACTTGTTGTGGCAAGTAAGACTGCTGCACTGATGATAGTGTTCATAGGTCCAAGAGTTTGTGCGAGAAAAGCGGGTAGGATGCGGCCGAAGATCGAGCTGCTGTTCAGAATTGCAAGCAGATTCCCTGCAAGATCGGTCGACGCGATTTTGTTGTCTAGAGCGTAGCTTTGGACGTAAACGAAGGGCGTGTACATGCCTAAAAATACAGAGAAACACCCAGCTACGAAGAGAACATACGGCCAGTCTGTGAAAGCCGTCTTGTCCAAAAGTTGCCTTCGCTGAGCTGGTCCACTGGGGTTCGGCCCTGGGCGAAGCACGAGGTTGGAAAACAGGAGTAGAACCAACAGCAGCAAAGCCATAGCCCTCGTCGCCCAGGGCAAGCTTGTCTGCGTATTGAGCTCCCGTATCATAATTGGGAGAAGAACACTGGCATCGCGTCAGAGAGATAACAATGGGGATGAACAGTCTTGACTTACCCTCCAAGTCCACTACCGCAAGCTGCGAGTCCATTGACCAAGGGCAATTTTGTAGTAAACCATAGCGAAGTAATAGCAACACTCAAGATCGATAGACAACCGGCGCCAATACCAATCATGAGACCTTGAGTGAGAAGGTACTGCCAGTACTTTTGACTCAGACTTTGAAGTACAGTTCCGATGACGATGAAGGTAGAGCCGACAGCCAGAAGGTGTCGAAAGTAGCCAGAATCATAGATCGGGCCAACTATGAACCCTGAGAAGACCATCAAAAATGTCTGCAGAGAGCCGATGACTGATATCTGGAACGGTGTATGATTTGACAGTTCGTCGCGCTCATAGATGGTTTGAAAGCTTCCAAAGCTTGCGATCAGCCCTGCAATTTGTCAGTATCCGCCTGGTGTGTATGGGTGATATTACCCACCCCAAGTACAAAAGTAGAGGCAAAACGAGCCAGCGACTTGCAGCCACGCAAGCAATCCGCCATTTGGGATCGGCTTTGGCGATGCATCATCAACTGAAAAGCTGCTTTCGACGAGAGGGTTACCATCGGCTGTGTCTTTCGTAGAGTCCATTGCTGGTAGGAAGCATTGATGAAGGTCCTTGACTACAAGCTGAACAACATACCTAATTGAAGGGAAGATAGGCCGAGATGCAACCGCCATGCTTATCAATCTCTATTTCTCTGACAACGCTTTTGCTAGGATAGCCCGTTCTAGGAATTTTCCCGCTTTCCTAATGTGGTGATAGACCACGGCACTTCTCCCCACAGTGGATCTCAATGAAAAAGATAAAACCCAACATCAGCAGATCAAGGCGCAATGCAAATTGTCTGGGCCACTCCTGAACGCGTACTCTCTCCTTAAGCCGAGTATTTGTAATAATCACATGAAGAACAATATTTATCCCACTTACCAAAACCGCGTTTTGACCACGAATTCCTTGGCCACTCTCCATGGAACCTTTGCATGATTTTCGCATGTCATTCTTCCAACTTGGTGAAACATCCGAAGGCTGCCTAGCTAGGAAGGTGGTAAATGATTTTTTAAAAAATCCTGGTCTCGATTAAGCAACCCGGGGAATACCGCGACTAAGGCGGTAATGCGGCGAAGCAGGCAAGATTGAGTTCATGTGGGCTTAGTGCCGGCATGGCATAATGCATGCATGACCAAGAGTGGTAATTCTTTACGATTAGCCTTGTAGATAGGACGGAACTGTAGATCCTGTACGGAGATAGTGATTTTGGTGGTGAGGATGTTGGGGGCTTTAGCAAAGGTTCATTGGGGGTTGAAAATTTGATCAATCGGGTAAGAAGCTAAGTCTGTGAGAGAACAAATAGGACAAAAGTCGAAATGCTGTTCAAGTCAGAATCGGGATAACGACAAGAAAGTCAATAAAGAGGAAATTTTCATCAAAGTCACGAATTACAAGCAGGATTGAGCGTGATGTAATGGAAAGTCTAGTATATTGAACCATGAAAACACACAATTTACACCCAAGATCTACCCTACACCCTATCGAGACTTCACAAAGTAAGAATCCAAGTATTCTTCCCAAGCCTCGTCCCCGAAAGTGCCAACATATCCGACATACATATCCGGCCGAACAATCACAATAGCCGAGTCCTCGTTCTTGCACCAATCAGCAGTGAAGTCCTTGTCGCCATCCCTGTTTTGGTGACATTCGAGGGCCCCATTAGTCGACCCATTGGGCAGGATAGTATAAACGGGAGCCGAGGCGGAAATCGCCGCAAGTCGTCTTCCGATAGCCAGGACGATGAAGTCCCCATAAGAGACATTTTCGTAGAGTCGCGAGGTTTTACCGGAAGATCCAGTCATTACCACATCGGGACAGCGATATCCAGGTTTCCAGATACCTAGTTCCGTACCCTGGATGAGCGGAGTGGCGAACTCGCTGTAGTTGACACCCATGCCTTGCTGCGTTAGTTGGTGATATGTGACTGTGATGGTGGACGTACCTGTGATGAAGCCGGCATTTCGTTCGATTGTGGAGACGTATTTCTTGGCTGTGTGGATGGTGTCCCTGACTAGCGCTGCAGCTACTCCGATGACTTGAGCGGCTGTGGATCTCCGCTCGATGTCGTAGCTGCGTAGAATATCGTCTCTTGCTTTGGTGGTAAGGTTGGATGGGCGTGCGAGTGCTGAGAGACGCCAGGCTAGGGCGAAGGCATCGGAGACGCCCGTGTTTAAGCCTTGTCCGCCGTTGACGGAATGAACGTGAGCAGCGTCTCCGGCCAAGATGATTCTTCCGTGGCCTTCCTTGGAGATGAATGTTCCAGCGAGTCGTTCCTTAACTGGGGCGTTGTTAGCAGCGGAACTGTAGCTCTTCAATGCGAGACATACCATGGAATGTGCTGAACCATTCAGTCTTTGTAAACTCTACTCGATAAGGAGAGAGATGTTCTTTGATAGACTCTTCAGCCAGCTGCTGCGTAATCTCGCCCTTTAGAAGAACATAAAAGCGAGACATTCCTCGCTCTCTTGGAATCCACGCAACTCGAGACTCCCCATCAAGCTCAAACGTGATAATCTCAGGACAAACAGGAAAATCAGTATCCAAGAAGGTATCAAGAACTGCCCAGGTCATCTCAGGTTTGGTACCAGTGAAACTAATACCCAGCGTGTTTCTGACAAAAGATCTTGCACCGTCAGCGCCAACAGCATATTTGCTGCGCACCTTTCGTCCTGAACTAGTCATGACGGTGACAGAGTCTCCATCTTCGGTGATACTGATAACGTGCTCGTTGTAGCTAACTGCATCACCTAGACGGGCGCGCATCACTTGTTCAACGACGGGTTGTCCGATCATGAGAAAGTTCTTGTGAAAGGCATGTTCGATACCAACCCACCAAGCGTTCTGACGGGACTTGAAATCGCCCGCTTTGAAAGTAGAGCTCGCTGTTATTGTCAGAATATGTCGTTGGTGTTTTTAGGTCTACTTACTGTTGCATTTGAGACCATCAGGCAAAAGCTCATCGAGGATGCCAGCCACCTCAAAGTACTGCTGAGTACGAGCATTGAGTGCATCAGCACGACCAAGCTCTAAACTACAGGGCTTCTCATCTGTAAACTCGTTAGAATTGCTTCTCACAACTCTGGCTCTGGTGCATCTTACCTAGGACGCGAACGGAGATACCCAATGGCTGTAGGAGAAGACCAACAAAGAGTCCAGTAGGACCGCCACCAACAATAGTAACATCAACTTGCTCCATGATTTTGAGTATTTGTGAATGACTTTGAATTGAATGTTCAACTTTGGAGTTCTTAATATTAAAGCTCTATGTAATTGGCGGGAAAGGCCCAGATAAATCACCAACTCGACTTTTACCCAAGCTCTCCATCGACCTACCTATCTCGGCATCGTCAAACCATCTCATCAATTCAAGGATATAAAAAATCGAAATGTCTCATCTGAATAACCATATCCTAGTTTGTTACACCATCCCAAAGGCCCGAAGAATTATTCAACGACGGGGAACTCTAAACTTGGCCGGGTGGGATATAGCCGAACGGGATAGCCGCGCGGGATGCTGATCATCACCACGGACCGTTTCCCCCCATGCGAAAATCCAAGTTTTTAGCCCCAGCCCCGACTAGCATCTCTTCCATAATGGACTACAATGACGAAAGGTGTGGCTTGGCTTCCAGATTGATACCTTCTACTCTAGGATTTCACATCCGTGCAAGCTGACAGGGGAGGGTTGGATAATTTTATGAGCTTCCTGATGAAGCCATTTTGTGTCATGCTTGTTCCTCGGATTAGGCGATGTGTGACGAGGGTAATTGTTTTGCCACGCAATTGGGTGGCTGTACGATGGCCCACTGATGAGACGACTCGGTGTTTTTCGCAAATTGTCTTAGTAAACCGAAAATGGGACTATAGATGAGTTGGAGTATGTAATTTGTAGTTCACATGTTGATAGCAGATAGTAGACTGCAAGATTTATATCCTCTTATCTCCCTGACATATCATTCATCTCATCAAGTTCAACAGTCACTCTCATTTCATACAAACAGACACTCATCAGCGATCACTAATCTTCCATTCTACCATGGCTGTATCCAGTCTTCGTCCCGTGATCCCTTTCCCTTTTGGGACTGCCACTCAGAATATCTCTCCAGACCCATTGGCTACTGCTGTAGATAGGGCGGCTCTTGAGACGTCAACTAAAATTCTCGATATCATCGGGAGATATCGCATGAAACAAGACGACAACCTCTACTCACATTCCGATGAGTCAACTCTCAAATTCATCGCCCTCATCTACACACATGTCAAGGCCGGCAAGCCAGTCCCTATGTGCCTACCGGCTTTCCCTTTCAAGTCGCCAAATTCAACATCGAAGACGCTGGGAAAGCTTCCTGATAAGGGTGAAGAGATTGCTCTTGCTCACCTGAACGGACTCTGCAGCGCTATTAGCGATGTATATGCGCCCGGCGCCAGACTAACTATCATTTCCGATGGATTAGTATACAATGGTAGGTTCTACTTGGTTGTTTTTCAAGGAGCTTAACTAACAATTGCAGACCTACTTGGCGTTCCAGATAGAGACGTCTGGGCCTACGGCGAGACTCTCCGCTCCATGGCAGCAGAGAAAGAATTCCACAATATCTCCTTCGCGCGTCTTCGCGATCTTGTTGAGATCGATTTACCGAAGGACCTTGAGGAGATGACCTATGTTGCCAACGCATCAAACTTTCGACGCGCACTTCTCAATACGTTCAGCAAGCCCGGATGGAGTTGGGATGATGTCCGCCAATCAGATGATCAGTGCATGACTTATCGCGGTTACATCAAGTTTCTTCAGACGGACTTGGAAACGGTTTATCCGGTAGATGAGAACCGCAGCAAGTCAAAGTACAAGAGAGGCATTGAGTATATCGCGAAGCAGATGATGGCTCGTGGAGATGTAAGTGGAAAACCGTCCTGATTCAAGGTAAAATTTGTACTCAGTACTGACGTTGCAGGCCTTCGCAAATGCTGTTCGACAAAAGTACCCCGATCACGTTCGCCTATCAATCCACCCCTCAACCGGCGCTGTCAAGCTTTCTATTAGCCTTTTGCCAACCGAGCAACTGTACACCACGCCCTGGCATTGCAGCGTGGCTTACAGACTGGACGGTACTATCAGAACCGGCATGCGATCTGAGTTCGACAACGACGCAAGTCTCGAACTAGTCTACGCCAACGGACGGCCTTCGCATTACCGAGAGAAGTCACCATTGCTGTCATGGGCCGAGGACAAGGGCGGTATCGTGGTCGATCCTATGTACCCCGCCGGTCTGATCATTCGTCCGGCCAATGGAGCTGGCTCCCTGACACTAGACGACATCAACACCAAGAAAGTTCGTGCTCTGTCGGAAATCAACTCACCCGTTGTCCTCAAGGGATTTGTCAAGAGGCCCAATCGCGACCGTTTCATTGACTTCAGCCACCGTTTTGGAACCCCGCTACCCTGGAAGTTTGGGCTTTTGCTCGAAGTCAAGGATCGAGGACAGGATGCTCGAGGCCTGAACAATGTCCTGTCGGCAGAGCCCATGCCGTTCCACTATGATGGTCTGTTCAAGGTTGTTAAGCAGACAGATGAAAACGGAAATGAGAAGACGGTCTCGACCCCTCCCCAGTAAGTACGGTTTCTGACAATATGATTCAGCAACTAACTGCGCGAACAGGTTCCAACTGTTCCAGGGTGCAACCTCCTCGCCAAGAGATACCGGTTTCACCCTTTTCTCTTCCTCAACCCTGTTCTTCAAGTATCTCCCATCGTGGCTGAAGAAGGACATCTCCAAGCTCACCTGGAGTGTATCAACATCCGCATTCGACAACACCGTCTTGAGAGGTCTACCTCTAGCTATCGATCATCCTACGACCGGGAAGTCATGCCTTCGATACCACGAGCCTTGGCCCCAGTCCAAGACGCGATTCGACGCTTCTGATGTTACGATTGACGGGCTCGAGGCTACCGAGAGTGCCGCTGTCTGCGAAACTATTGACTCGGTTCTTTATGATCGCCGCGTTGCCCTGTACTATGTCTGGGATAAGGGCGATATTCTGGTTAGCGACAACATCTTGATGATGCATACCAGGAGTGATTTCACTGCGGGCGTTGATCGTGAGCTGTGGCGAATTCACTTTGACTAGTGCTGTTCTTGTTTGGGTCGGCAGGTCTGATTATGTTTTGTTTTGCCAACTTGAAGGTTTCATATAGATTATTTCGGCAATAGATTGTTTCTGATGCTTAAGCTTATTGGTCCACACCTTGACTACTATGCCTTATCTAATTGTTCTAGTTGCGGATTCATCCCGGGAATCCCGCCCGGAGATATCTCGGTCGGCATCCACATCCGACTCGGATAGACTACCGACCAAACCTAATGGCAGCTATATCAAGGATAAGATCGCGGGGTAGCCCTGTTCATGGTACTCTCAACTTCCTCAGTCATAATGGTCAAAGTCAAGCAATATCATCTCCTCCCAACGGATCTGATTCCGAACTCACCAAGACCGCTTCTGCACTACAAGAATGTTTTAGCCAAACGCCCGAATAGCTCCAAGTGCGACCCCGCCGAGGTCTGGGATATGTTTACCCAGAACGGCTGGGACGTCCAGTGGATATTCCGATACCCAAACACGCAACTGTCACATTTCCACTCCGAGGCTCACGAATGCATGGCTGTTCTCTCAGGCACTGCAACAATCCGCTTTGGTGTTGGTGATACGTCAGAGGATCTCCAAGAGAATACATACGGATCTGCCTGGGAAGAAGGCGGAATCTTGTTGGAGGCTGAAGCAGGAGATGTTTTTGTCATTCCTGCTGGTGTAGCGCACAAGACTTACAACACGAAGCCGGCAGCCGAGTTCAAGCTGCTGTCACCAGGTGTTGGACATGGCATTGAGGCTGACGACCCGAAGAAGGCGTTGTCTGAGATTGAACTGGATGGATATACTATGATGGGTGCTTATAACGGTGGTGAATGGGATTTCGTGAAGAGTGGCGGAGATTATGGCAAGTCATGGAGGGTCCCCAAGCCGAAGAGAGATCCTGTGTTTGGGGAGGCAGAGGAGGGACTTGTCAAGACTTGGCCCGGAGGGGATGCTGAGGTTGATTTAGAGATTGTGCATGTTGAGAACAGAGAGTATAAGTCAAAGATGTAGCTCATCGCTCTTCCAATAGTAGAACAAGATGAGTCATAAGAGATCTCGGCCTCGCGGCCTGAGACTCTCTCTAGGAGGGTTCTGAGGTCAAGAGTCACCAAATAGGGGACAGTTTGAGTCAAGGTTGATTCAATAAATATGTATAAACATGTCAGAAAAGGAAACGACCCAGCCACTTCCCAAAACTAGTCATATCATAGTCCATCTATCTCGTGTTCGCGTATTAGAATTACAAAGGGAGAATCCATTATCCCTTAGTCCTGGACACCAGTAGGGGTGTTGCAGAGGATGCCTTGGTCAAGCTGTGATGGTCAGTAATATGTCAAGTGAACGGATTGGCCAGACTTACGATGGGCAGAACACAGCATCGAGCTCGCTGGCCAATGGCAGAGCAAACAGCACTGAAGTCAGTGGCGTTCGTAGGGGCCTCGGGAGCTATTCATGTCAGTCTTTGCCTTAATATGGACAGGCTTGAACTTACGGTTTCCGCAGTCAAGGTCGGCAACTCCAAGGACATCAGTAGCACAGCATTGAGAAGTGCCGTAGAGACCAGAGCAAGGGATATAAGCCTGGCGCTTCTCCTCAGTGGGGAGAGCAGAGACGGCGGTAGCCAGGAGGGCAACAATAGCGAGTGAGAACTGCATGATGGATTGAGTGACTGAGTAGATGATAGAATGATATGAAGCTTGGGGATGTGGATGCAGATACAAATTGGCCTGTTAACAATCCCCATATTTATACAAAATCCAAATTATAGATCTCGTAAATCATTAAGATCATCGTCACCAAAAGTAAATAGCCTCAACGTCATTATCTCACAACAAGTCTCCAATGAATACCACGTTTAAAGCCGTTGACGTTTCCGACGGCGATATCCCTGACCTATATCATCTATATATTGACTTGAAACCTGTTGTAGCGTTACAACGGCCGGGCGGTTTACAGCTCTGCAGGGATCTAACGCATAAACGTGTCACGACGATCGCTCGATCAATTGGCCACGCTGATTCGCTGGACCGTCGGAGGAAACACTCAAAGGAATAACCGACTGCCGAA